GTGGCAAATTGACTTTGGTTTAACAGCTGAACAAACAAAATGACAACAAAATCTTCATGTACTATGATGAGGCTAACAAACGCAAGGCAAAATTAATTATGGCTTTCTATTGAAACGCATGATTTTGGCCTTTATATTATCTATATACATATTTTTTTTTTGTTGTACGTGTGGCTTGTACCGATTATAACAGTTATTACATCGAGGCTCATTTAAGGACGGTTTTCGTACAACCAGACAATTATCTACAAGCAATCATTTGTTCTGAAGCTTTGAGAGCATCAGCTTTGAAACTCTTTACGGTGGCAAATTTACATTATCAACTAAGTTGACGATATCAAAATTATCTTGAATTACTTACAAGGGCAGGTTTTGTCACACTGTCGAATTCTTTTAAAGTTGTTTACGTTTCCCATGCAACCTCCGTAATAGAACTTTTCGCATTTTCCGGTGCGGTGGTTGTAGTAATATCTACTGATCTTGGCTTTACACGGTCCAGTTTTCTTAGGGAAAAAGCATGTACCTTGAATGGACAGAAAAAAAAAGATAGATTACTAAATAAATGCTAGCATCGCCAAAACTTCCACTTAGATTGCTTCATTTATACCTCCGTTAATACTCCCGTCATGCACGTAAGTGCCACAAATATACAGCTCGCGTCGAAATAGGGATTTTTCGTGATTACTTACATCTTTTCTCACATTCCTGCTTTGTGAGAAAGTTATTTCCGTTTCCCTGACAACCACCGTAGATGAACCTCTTGCACTGACCGCTGGACTTATCAAAGTAATATCGCTGGAAAAACGCTTTGCAGAAGCCTGGTTCCTTAGGAAGGAGGCAATCGTCCGTTTTTCCGGTTTGACCGTACCCTTTGAAAAAGAATCATACACTTGGCATTAAATCGATTAGCTGCATGTTCAAGTTATTTCCGTTAGTCTACTGGATGCTCGGAGATAGGTTCCCACAATTTGTTCAGTTCAGTCGAGCGGTTTAGTACATTCTGTTCCCATTCCTTCCCAGTATAGTCCAAACATATCGTCACTTATCTACGTTTAAATCCATTTTTACTACGAAATTATTTTGAATTTCGTAACCCAGATTTTTATTCAGGATGAGGAAGTTATCTCTCAATTAGAAAACATCTTAACGATGTCCTCATCCTTCACTACAGCAGACGATTTCCATTTTTTGAGTGGACGTTATATTTCAGTCAAATCTTTACTTGTTTGGAAAATAAGACGTAATTACTCCATTCGAAATAAAATAAAAATGCTTTTTCATCGTTCCTCCACCACGATATGTAAATTTTGGCTCGGCCGGAAGGCGCCATCCAAATCACGCATAAAACTACAAGAATGAGGATGGGAATTACAACATCGGGATACTCTCATCCGATTGGGGGAATTTTTTCCAAATTCTTACGAAGTAAAGAAAATTTGATCATCAAGACACGGAAAAAGCGATTACAAATCTCAAACCTGCGTTAAACAGTAGCACCAAAGCTACAGACAATAGGGCTGACTTCATTTCGCCTTCAAAGGTTGAAACTTTGTGATCAACACGACCAGTACTCTTCAAATTTAGCGAAAGTCGTGTGCGTGTTTCAGTACCGATGACTGATTTTTATATCATTGTTGTTAATGAGAGGAAGCGAGCGTCACGGAAATTGCGAGGGTCAATATGTACGTATTGCAGGTGTCAACATGGAAATAATTTATGAAAAAATGTCTATGTTTTATTCAAAGAAAGAGGCCACGAAAAGGTAAAAAGCCCATTAAGAAGTTTCAAGTTTCATAGAAAAACGTCTCCAGAGGTACCCGTTTGTGTAAATGTCTTCTACAAAAGGGAAAACCTTTTGGTTCAAGCGGCAATACAATACACACAATACGTGTTTCAGCAGACGTATTTGCTTTTTTTAAAAAGGTTGGTCACATTCCGACACTTATCTGAAAATAATCCTCGACAACTATGTATCGTGACTGAAGTCAGGTCTCCATATAATGTAAAGTTATCGTTATCTATAGGAAAGGAAGTGATAATTGTCCTAAGAATTTTAAAAATGGAAAGTGCAGTTTGAGCAATCAAAAAATTATAAGTCACTGTTTTTACTGCCATATGTATCGAGTTCTTGCCGATCCATCTTCGTCTGTTTCTCTTATTCACAACTGTTGTACATTTTATACAAATAAGTTGTCCTTAATCCACGAAAGCTTCTGGACGTTAGCACTCATAATAGGATTGCTTTGACAACAATATAAAGGCGACAAAGGGTTTATAGATGAAAACGCTATTATGCCCAAAATAATACTTGACGCGTGAATGTTACAAAACGACGAAGTAAGAAGAGATTTGAATTTGTCCCTTTTCAAATTTTTCGGCACAAATACTGTTTCGTACACGTGAGGCGAGAATCTTTCCACACTTAGGGCGTGAAATGAGATCACGACTCCGCCTTCCTTCAGCACCTTCCAATATCCCTTTTCTGATGGATGAGGCTTTGAACTGATCCATGTCACGATTAGAAAAGAATTATAAGATTAAAAAAAATATTAAATAGCTCGGATAAAGACTGGTAAAAATCTTTAAAAAGAAAAAAAATTATTACCCATTTAAAATAACTTCTAAAATTTTATCACTAAATCTCGGTAAGAATATCTCGCGTCGACTTTGTAAACCACACTACGACTCACAGATCAATATTGCTTAGATAAAAATAGTTATTGTTTCTATCAAGAATCTATTTGTTCACGGCTGATGACAAATATTGACAATCTCCTTTATCGAATCTCTAGTAATATCTGATTGTGCGAAAGAGCTCTTTTGAGTAGTACTTTCAAAGCGTGCTGAAACATGTTTTCCTTTTCGCTGTCGAAAACGATAACTAATGTAAAGTTATCTTTTTGTTTGATAAGGCTCTAAATGAAGTAAGCTGGGGTTTACCCTCAAGTAAAATCCGGCTCAAACATCATTCCTCATTATTATTCCATTAAGCAAATTTCAATCAATGAAACTTTGAGAAAAAATTGCGCAAACGAGAACGGATCCATCTCGTTTTTTCGGGGGACAGCTTCATATATACAGCAAACGCAAAATTTCGCTGAAAGGAGCTTGAACTTTCGCTAGAACTTTCCAGGAGAAATCGCAGGAATAAAAAACCAAATTCGCGTATTTCGTTTGCATTACTTCTGCATAATACTTTTATTTGTAAAAAGTAACACAACGCGAGTGCAAATGTAGCAAATAACATTTATTTATAATTTATTCGGATTTAATTATTATCGATAATGTCTCGTCATTTTCATGTTTTTCTCTTGGCTTTCCACCTTTCTTCGCAATAGCTGGTTTCGTTTCTCAATCCTGCTTGATCTCGCACGAGCTTGTTGTATTTGCCATTGTTGAGTCTCTGAGTCTTGGCCCTGTGACAGGTGGGTCGCTGCGAGTGTTTGGGATGTTGACGCGGTATTTGGCGCAGAAACGCTTATCAGGCGAAAACGGCTGAGGGACTGGGTTCTTCGAAGCTGGTCTCCACTTCGCTGATGTTCCTAAAGATTCAAACTAACTTAGTAAGAATTAAGTCACCTTGATTTTTTTGTCTCTGAACCTTAATTACAGATTTTCTTAAAAGTCTCCAGAATTATGTATCTCGAAAGACAAATAGCAGATTGATAATTGACAAAAACTTGGGAATGATAGAAGCTAAAATAATAATAAAATAAAATAGTGTTGCCATGATAACCATGCAAAAGATGAAAACCTTTTGAGCAATCATTGTACATTGCTTGAAAACCATTTTATTTACTGAAAACAAAGGAAAGTTTTGAGACGCATTAAAATCATCAAGTCTTGCATCAGTGGGGCAGGTGGTATTTAAATTTTGTAGTCATTATTCAAGCAGAAAATTCACCCTCAAGAGGCCAAGGAAAACTGTTATTGAGGCTCTGAGACGCGGTATATCAGCCAGAGGAAATGGAAATTCACCAGACGGCGTTACAACACTCACTCATATGCCAGTGCCGAACAGTCTTTCTGTCTGTCACATAATTATTCAATAGAGAACGGTCCCTTACTCATTCTTCTCTTTCTTTGTTATTTGTTCGTCTGTTGGTTCATATTTTCATGTATCATAATTAAATGGTTGTTTACTCAGGCTAGTTAATAATTTGAATGACCATACTCTCTCGCAAGTCAGTGATTACTCCGACATCAGATACCTCTGTAAATGTCCTTGCACGACGCCTTCCGACAGCAGCATGAGCGACGCCAGAGCTAAGGGAAACTTGTTTTCGTAAGTGGCGGTAGTTCCCTGTTGCTGGTCGAGGTGCCTTTGATCGAGAAACAAAACAAACGTACTTGACCCTTAATTTACACCCTACCATCAGCATGCATATTCTCCATACTGTTCTCTATAGATTTCCCTAAGGTGCTGACGAGGAGAATTTGTTTAACGATCAAGAGCATCTTTAGTTGATGATCATTTCCTTAAGTCTCATGATTCAGGGCTGACAATGTAAGGAGACATTAAATGCTGTCGCTCTTAGGGATCAAAAAGTTAACAAAATTCTGTGAACCGTACGTCTTCTGATACATTTACACTATTTCCTGGCCGGTTCTCCTGTGTAGATTATTAATAACCCGTGGCCTACAACTATCTTCTTACAAAACGGACCTGGTATATGGACTTCTGATTCAAAACAGTTTTTAATTGTCTCTAGTCGACATAGCTAAAAAAATTGATATTCCTCACCACCCCTGAAGAGTTTTTATCTGGGGTCTCGTTTGTCTTCGTGTCCTCTGTATCTTTCTTACCACCTTCGTCGCTGTTTTCTTCTTCCTCTTCCACCTCTGTTGTCTTTTTCTGAAGTCGTTTTAACTTCTTCCGCTGTTCTTCCAAATTTTCAATCTCCTTCTTGAAATCAATTAATTGCTGTTTGCAAGCGTCACGTGCCTCGTGAATTGGAGTGTACCATCTAAACATGTCATAAAACAAACAATAGAAAAATTCGTTTGGGTTTGATTATTTCATTCATGATTAGAAATGTCATTTCATAGTATAAGAAATTCACACCAGTGTTATGTAAATTTGTTTCAGGGCTGGGAACAACAAAACTCTTTCTTTACTCCTCAAAAATTGCTTGCAACTTTATTCTAACACACGTGCCATAGCTTTACCTTTGAGAAGGCAGAGGTTCATTCTCATATTTCTTAACATCTTCCTCACTTTCCTCTGTGACGTTATCAAGCACAGGTGTTGGGGTACGACTCGTCTTTCTCGTTGGTGACTTTATTCTGTTCGTTGCCATCTGACCACAGTCCGTTTTATCACTTGCTTTTTCACCGAGGGCCTCATTTGGTGACCAATCCTCAATGACTATAATCGGCGGCTGGCCTGTTTCCTCAGTCACTCCTGAAGATGGTGAACTCTTCCTTCGCTGACGAATATTACTCATCCATTTACTAGCAGCAAATGAAACATTCCATGGACTCAAAACTGGACTTCTAAGAGAAACAGATTCTTCATCTGACGAACTCTGGTCATAGTTGGGTGAGTCATCCAAAACATCAAAAAGACTTCTCTCAAATCTTCGATAACTTTTTGGAGAGAAACGGCGTCCCGGAATTCCTGTGTTTATGATTTCTTTCACAACCACATTCGGTTTTTGAACGGCTGGTTTTTCAATGGGAACAGAGGGCAAAACGTTTGGATTGTTCGTTCTTCTACCCTCAACAACAGGCCCTTTCCCATTGTTATCTTCTTTGGATTCATACTTTACTTTCCTGTTTTTCTTGTCTCTTTTTCCCCCTTTGTGTTTCTTTTTTTCGTTTCCTGTCTTCCCTGAAGTACTACTATTCTTTGTAGTCTTTAGCTCAGCATGAAGGGATGTTTCATTCGCAGAAGAAAACAAAGAGCCTTTAGTATGCGGACGTACTGCGACATTTCTTAGTTGTGTTCTGACATTCTTTGTTCTACGACCCAATGTTGGTGACCTTGACATACGATCTCTCGCCGGTGCACTTCTTGGTTTAGACATTTCTAACGTGGGCCTGTTAAAGTCTCCAAATGCTCTTTTGGCTGGAAAGTGAAAATTAGTTTTGCTTTCAGTGTCATTCTTGGAATTCCTTCTCAACAATAAAACGGCTTTAACAACTGCTGCAGCACTGCTTGTCAAGATGGCAGATGATCGTCGCCTTGACCGAGGAGGCACGAAAAGCTGCTCAGCTTTCTTTGGGGCTCCGGGTACTTCGTCGTCGTGATTTGGCTTTCTCAAATAATGCCTATAAACATAAAATGTGTGCGTAACGTTATCATTTTGGAGAGAATAATATCCAACCGACCTCACCAAAGCAAATCTTAAGTTTTCCCCCCATATAGTGGAGGACTTTTTCGCGTCAGAAAGCAAAGTCAAAGATGTAAATATAAACAGGAGAGCTTGGTCGTTTTCTATCCGCCTTGTTCCTGGAGCCTATCTTGTACATTTACAGTTACTTTGGACGACTCAACAATAAGGTTGAGTCTTTACTTGAGCAAAGTGGTGCACAAGGCGGCGGAGCTCATCCCGGTCGTCGTGGCATGAACCAACTAGGCCTAAGTCGAAGGGTGGATAACTCTATCCACTAGATAAATCTCTAT